AAAGATTATTCAATTCCTAGTAGTAGTTTGCGTATGTGTAAATAAGTATTTAAAGCGGAATATTCTTAAAATTTGAAAAAAAATTATTCAATTCCTTGTAGTAGTTTGCGTATGTGTAAATAAGAACATTTAAGTGGTAACCTATGTGATTAGAACATGGGTCACTGCTACTATTAGTAAACATAATTTCAGTAGACTGCAACTCATTTGTTTTTGTATTTGAAATCCAAATATATTATTGGAGGATAAATTTTGAATACAAATATTAATATTTTCCTTATACTTTAAATGTACAGTTCATAGAAAATAGACGTTCGCTCATTCAATGCGTCGATAGATTAATTCAACCAATGTACTCATTCAAAAACTAGTTATTAATTAATTAATTAATTAATGGCACAAGTATAAAACACTATTTGTTACGAATTAATCGCGTTTATCATAATCGTGTTTCACTGTTCATTAGTAGGGGTGCTAAATGGTAATGCGGTTAACGGTTTAACCGGTAACCGTACCGATAAATGCAGTTACCGGTTAAATCATTAACCGAAGCAAACGGTAATCGGAGGATGAATTGTTGCTAGCGGTGTACCGTGATCGGAACTATCAAATACCGCCGGTCGCTCGGTATTCCGACACCGAATGAGAAATGGCCATTTAGCCGTAAAAGACTAGGATTTCTAACCAAACGATCGGCCACCCAACCTAAGTAATTAGACTGTCTTTTCCCTGCCTATTATTCTATTTGCTTGCATCGCTCTTTCTTAGTTTCCCCTGCCTGGATGCCTGCTACACACCGCCGTCCGCCGATCCCTACTCCGTTCATCGACTCCAAAGGGCAAGAGACACTACCCAGTAGGCAGCAGCCCTCATCCAGCCATCCTCTCTACCAGGCTCGATTTCCTTCAAGTCCCTTCGTCGTTGCTCTATTTTCGTCGAACCCCGTCGCCGTAGCCCGTCGGAGTTTAATCGCTCGACCGTACAGCCCAACAGCTCATCTTCTACAGCTCTCCGTCGATTTGACTTTTGAGAGGTAACTTGTGTAGCCGAGTTTCATTCATTCAGTTTCATAATTGTTTCAGAATTAATTAATCATAGGTATTTCCGAGTTTGTGTTATTGTGTATAATGTATTAATGTGTAGCCTTGTTAGTCGTAGGCGTAGCCAAACAGAGAAGCAGCGAAGGCCAAAGGGAGTTTGTGATATTGACATATATATTGTAATATTTCCACTTTTCACTTTTCACTTTTCATAGCCTCGTAGTAGGCAGCCGAGCAGGGAAGCAGTGAATTGAAGGGAGTTTGTCAGTTTGTGGTATTGTGTATAATTGATTAACTGTTTTTTCATTTTTGCAGCCGAAGCAATACAAAAGTATACAAAAGTACAGTCGAGCAGAAGGGAATTTCATTGTTGAAGCAAAGTGGGCCAGTCCCAACTCCCCAGTCCCTCCCCACCATCCATTCGTCATTAGTTGGGAAGTAATTCCATAATGTCCCTTCATCAAACATTCGGTAATCGGGATACCGGATGCATACCCGTACCGCAGCAATTCGGTAACCGGTGTACCGAAGTAAATTCGGTGTCGGCCAACGGTGGGACTGCTATGCTTCCCGGTATACCGGAAACCGGCAAGTTGGTAACCGATTTAACCGGTTACCGACCGTTTACCACCCCTATTCATTAGTGAGTGGATTTTTTCACCAACGAGGCTCAAGAGTCGAGAGAGGTTGCTCGAGGTCGATGGAGGCATTTCGTAGCAAGGACGCGATAAGGGCATCGCGAGAATAGGTGGGGGAGGATGTCACGCATGGCGGGCGACATGGCGAATGATGTGGCGGATCATGACCAAGTCAAGCACGTGTGGCATTAAGGAAGACCTAGTAGCATAGGATGCTCCTATGATTCTCCATCTTGAATATGAGCTTAATGGTGCACATAAAGAGCCACATTATGAGGTGGTATAATGGTGTGCATTATGGGGAAAACTTAATAGGGTGTAGTAATAGGGAGGGACCATTATGAGGGGCATTGATGCCTTGTATGAGGAGAGGCCTATATAAGGAGCCATCTTCCTCACTTGTAACTCATCCATCATTTTTGTGAGCAATACAACTATAGAGTTTCTCCCATATTCTTGCGTCTTGTTCTTGTGAGTTGAGTGAGTTTGAGAGCTTGTGAGAAGGCTGCCTAGCATCTATAAAGGAATTGAGAGCTAGGGCCGCACGACCAAGAATAAGGCCGTGACAATTTCCTGCGGACAGGTCTATATTATTTCACAACTCTTTACCGTCATTTTTTGTTGGGTTGGCAAGTGATGCCTTCAACCCCTTTGTTTCTGGGCACCCACAATTGCCACCCACGAAAGCTCACTGTCTACCCCATCTAATATTTGTATACATGATAATCCAATCCAATATTTGTATTCATGATAATAATTATGATTCAAACTTTTTACAGATAATCATAGCATAAAAGCAAGGATTAAAATACCCTATCATATTGACGGTCCTATTAGAGTCTAAACCGATAGATGGGTTTTAGTAGTATGAAACGTTTGAATTACTGTTAAATCACATTCCGATACAAAATACCATATCATTGACTTTTTTGGTACAACTTCTGGTACGGTTTTACAATCGTTACACAAAAGCATTGCATAATAGGTTCTTTAAATGATTGCAAATAACTTTCGTTCCGTAAACTTTATATAATGTATTTGCATTTTAAGTAACAATTGTAAAGTGGTGCTAAGTAAGTTTTATGCAATGAAGTTCATTTTATTTAAGAAATCATCGTTAAGATGTAACCTTTAAGTAATCTATTTCTATTTTACATGATAATTAAGGAATGTGGTTACATAAGTATTGCACATAAGACTATAAGAGATGGTTTAAAGAGATTAATGTTTTTTTCAACGGGTACCGTTCACAAGGAGTTTTACCACCTACACCAATTTTAATGTAGGCTCAATATTATTTGCATCACAATAAGATTTTGTATGGTCAATTATTTTCTATATACCATTTTAATCAAATGTGATACTAGAACCTGATTGTTATTAGACCACACAATACGAAAGATTTGTGCAACACTATTCTACAATAGTTATATAATTACAAATAAATTTTCAATTAAACAATAAGTCTTTCTTAATATAATTTTGAAATAATTTATTATTATTACTAATCTATTGACCATCTCATCAATTTGTATTATACAAACGTTTTGAAAAGTAATTTAGTTTTTACATATCACTTTAATAAAATGTGATACTTTATATAACTTGATATTATTATTAGTTCACCCATTACAATAGATTTATGTAATAATATTTTATAACTCCTACGCAAATTAAAATTACATTACATAAAAGTTAGGGTGTGCCTACGGTGACATGCATGTCACGGTGACTTGCATGTCACGGTGACTTGCACTTTCCGGTCGACCTCGGTTAGGATTAGGTCGACCCAATTCTAGGATCCGGTCGACCTCATATAGGATCCGGTCGACCTCATTTAGGATTCGGTCGACCTCATATAGGATCAGGTCGACCTAATCTGTTGTTTCAGTAAAAACAGTTCATGGTGTCTACTTTGGATATTCATATCATACAATTGGCTAGATGGAAATTGAAGACTAATGACTTGTTTTGAAGCTGGAGTGTCCCTCTACATATTGAAGTGATTGAGAGCTCGATAGGAAGTCCAGAAGACCATTTTTGAATCTCATCAAAAGGCTATGCCAAAACTGGGAAACTGCCTGGAAATGGCTAAGTCCGGAAACGTGTTTGTGAAGCCTATTTTGGAGCTCAATTCGAGAAGCATGAATGCGAGTCGAGTCCAGGAGCCTCTACCACGTTAAATTAGGTATGTTTTTATACAAATTCAAGGCATTGGATGAAAGATTGGATATCTGTAAGGCTTCAAATAAAAGGGTCGAAGTTGCTACGAAGGCTGTTTTTCTGGCAGACTTCGAGCACAAGCAAACTGCCAGAAAAACAGCCTTTGTAGCAACTTCGAGCCTTTTGTTTGAAGCCTTAAAGATATTCAATATTTCAACCAATGCCTTGCCTTTGTATAAAAAAAATATGTAATCTAACGTGGTAGAGGCCCCTGGACTTGACTCGCATCCATGCTTCTCAAATTGAGCTCCAAAGTAGGCTTGACAAACACGTTGCCAGACTTGGCCATTTTCAGGCAGTTTCCAGTTTTGGCATAGCCTTTTGGTCAGGTTAAAAAATGGTCTTCTGGACTTTCTATTGAGCTCCCAAGTACTTTAATGTGTAGAGGGACACTTCAGCTTCAAAACAAGCCTTTAATCTCCAATTTCCATCTAGCCAATTGTAAGATATGAATCTCCAAAGTAGGCACCATGAAACTGTTTTTACACTGAAACAACAGATTAGGTCGACCTGATCCTATATGAGGTCGACCGAAAAGTGCATGTCACCGTGACATGCATGTCACCGTAGCAAAGTCCTAAAAGTTATGGAGGGATATTTATTTTCATATAAAAATTTAAAAGGTGTTATATTTTTTTTACCTAATGATTAAAACACTACGTAAAACCTATTGAAGGATAATGATTTCCTATGTATCAACAAAATTGATGTTTCGTAATGATTAAAACACTATGAAAAGTTTATGAAACAATTGTTATTTCTTATTTATCACTTAAACAAACATGTCGTTTGTTTTTCTTAATGATTAAGACATTACGTAAAGTTTATATACGTATCTCAACAATCAACATTATTATTTTGTAAATTATATAAAGTTTAAATATAATTAGTTTATTACCGTGGCTAATTGCAAGTAAAAAACTGTTATTATTTAAGGCGTCTCACATCCTTCACCCCTCCTTGTGGCGACTGGTGAGGGCGGAGGCGTGCGCGGAAGATTCATGCTTGTGGAGATTAGAGGACGGGCTGTTTCATTCCACCCTCCGCTGCAACACTGAAACCACTTAAGACTGTTGATTAATTAGAGAAAGGAATGAAAGAAATTGATCACCAAACTATACAAGTAGCAGTAGGTTATGGTGGCAAGATCCGTGCCACGTTATGATCTCTATTTGTTTTTTGGGTTTGGGTGTAGTGTAGGGTTTATACTTTATATAAAGAGTAAGGACCTGAAACATCTTTATCGCCATCACCACATTCGTCATCCGATCTAGAAGCCCAAACCGTCTTTTCTTCTTCTTTCGTGCCCCTTTATACCAGTTTTTTGCACGGTCGCGGTTCGGCGGTTCGGCGCGTACGTTCGCGGCGATTTCCTTCCCCATTTTTTCTGTCACTATTAAATACCCATTACAAAAAGGCATACCTTTCCTTCCTGATCTCGGTCCTCGGCCGCCGGGACGTATGCCCCTTTTTGTCTTCCATATCTGACTCTTCCTGCCCTTTTTAGCTCTGTACCGCTTTGCTTTCTCTTCTCTTCCAAGATCAATTGGAAACCAGAGCAAGGCATTGATATTGAGGGATGGCTTCTTCTCCCGTTCATTTCCTCCGTTCCCCTTTGGCTCCCTCCCCTTCACTGTGAGTACTTCTTTCTGTCTCTACCTTTTCTTCATCTTGGTTTTCTGGATCTCAGTTCTGTAGCTGATCCTCATTCCTAAATCGATTCAAAGGTTTTGTCTTTGATGGGATTGTACCAATTCAATCCCCATCATATCTACTACGCTTAATTTTCCCTGTTGCTCTCACACCCTTTTCCCCTGATCCTGGATCCTGGAAGCTTTCCATTTTCATGCTTGATGGTGATGGTGATGTTGCCCCTAAGTTTGAACTTAGACGCGCATCCTGTTTACATTAGTCTCACAATATATGGCTTATTTATGTGTTTTCTTTTTGACTTACAGAGGTTACCCTGGAAAGAATTGCTTGCATCCGCTGTCAGTGAATGGAAACTGTAACAATGTAGTCTCCTCCACTGCTGCTGCTAGAAAACTCTTCGGTGCTGGTTTTAAGGGGTTGGGCAGAAACAACAGAAGTGGTAGAACTAATAGAGCCTCTGTGATTTCTGGGGAAGGCGATCTTCTGTCTTTCCCCAGGAAGGATACACAAGGTATCTTTGACACTGATAATGTGACGAATTCGCTTTCTGGGATTAAGTTGCAACCTGATGCTGTAGATTTCGCAACTCTCTCTGCTGAGTTAACCCCCACCAGTACTAGTTTTTCCCCTGATAATGATGAATATGACTTGGATCGTCCTACTGAAGGCTTTAGCTCCATCCCTGATGCTATTGAGGATATCCGCCAGGGCAAGGTTGGTTGGTAGCCTCTCTCCTTCTTGATGTGAAGTTTGGTATTCAATGTTAGAGAGAATGAAGTTTGTAATATAATTTACGCCAATCATGCAGTTTGTGATCGTGGTTGACGACGAGGATAGGGAGAATGAAGGTGACCTGATCATGGCAGCTTCGAAGGCAACACCTGAAGCAATGGCATTCATTGTCAAGCATGGAACTGGGATAGTTTGTGTTAGCATGAAAGATGAAGATTTGGAGAGGCTGCAGCTGCCTCTGATGGTATCCACCAAGGAAAACGAGGAAAAGCTTTGCACAGCTTTTACAGTGTCAGTTGTAAGTAGTAGTTTGATCATCTTTACTTATGCTGCTGGCTACTGGCTGCTTGTATTATGAGCTCAGAAGTGAAGTATTCCTCTAACATGAGTTTTGGCTCCCGTTTAGGATGCCAAAGTTGGCACATCAACCGGTGTTTCAGCCCGTGACAGAGCGACAACTATATTGGCTCTTGCTTCTAAGGATTCCAAACCAGAAGATTTTAACCGTCCGGGTCATATTTTTCCTCTCAAGTATAGGGAGGGAGGGGTCCTGAAGAGAGCTGGTCATACTGAAGCTTCTGTTGATTTGTCGGTGCTTGCTGGGTTGGAACCTGTTGCAGTTTTGTGTGAGATTGTTGATGATGATGGCTCTATGGCCAGATTACCCAGATTGAGAGAGTTTGCAAAAGCAGAGAATCTAAAGATAGTCTCTATAGCTGATCTTATAAGGTACTGTAGTCAGTAGTTTATCATAGATAAAAAGTTTTCTCAAAATTTTTAGGACTAAACATATTTTTGGATGTAGCTTATATTTTATTTTTGAACCATCTTGTTTCTGAATGAAGGAAATTATTGGCTTATGACTTTGCAGATTCAGGAGGAAAAGAGACAGATTAGTGGAGCTGTCTGCTGCTGCTCGGATACCAACCATGTGGGGACCATTCAAAGCCTATTGTTACAGGTCGTTGATTGACGGAATTGAACATATTGCCATGGTTAAAGTAAGCTCCTTCCCTATTTAGCATGCACATACAGGCAAACAGATTGGACAGATCTATATTACCTTACATTTGATGCAGACACTGAGTTAAGATTACTTGATAAATACCTTCAGTTGCAGCTTCAGTTTTATGCCATTACGATACTTTTTGCTCCACATGAGTGTGGGATGAATGTTGAAGTCTTTTGCTTTCTGTGTTTTCCCTCTTTCCTCTGGTTTTCCTGATAAATACTCCTAGAAGAGCACTTGGGTTTTGAGTTATGTCATACTTCGTCTGCAATGAGTAAACTATCAACCCAGTGTTGTAGCTATTTGATTGTTTCATTATCGAAGACAAAAGTTTACAACTTTACATGCATAATGATGTCCATCTTTAGGTCTTTTGTCTTCCAACTAATAATAATACTGATTCTTGCATCATGAAGGGTGAAATTGGGGAAGGAAAGGATATCCTTGTTCGAGTGCATTCCGAGTGTCTGACAGGTGACATATTTGGTTCAGCAAGATGTGATTGTGGCAGTCAGCTAGCACTTGCTATGAAGCAAATAGAAGCAGCTGGTAGGGGTGTGCTGGTGTATCTCCGTGGACACGAAGGTAGAGGTATCGGTTTGGGCCATAAGCTTCGTGCTTACAACCTCCAGGATGATGGACGCGATACAGTTGAAGCCAATGAGGAGCTCGGTTTACCAGTCGATTCCCGTGAATATGGCATTGGTGCACAGGTATGTAGTTTTCCTAATCATCCAAATGCAGCCAGAAAAACCAAGATCATAAATACATATTGTCTAATGCTTTCCAATGGCTAAACTTCTCATCATCTGTTTTCAGATACTCAGAGACCTTGGTGTTCGCACGATGAAGCTGATGACAAACAATCCCAAAAAATACATTGGCCTCAAAGGATATGGTCTCTCGGTTGCTGGAAGAGTCCCATTGATTACTCCAATCACAACAGAAAATCGGAGATACCTGGAAACCAAGAAACAAAAGATGGGTCACATCTATGGTCCTGATAATGGTCATTCCAATGGAACCCCAGAAGATCGTCTGTTGGAGGCATAGGCCTTCTTCACGTGTTCTGTCTTCTCGGCATCCTGACTCACTGCACACTGAACAGGGAACTTGCGGGTCTTCCTCATTGACAGGAACTTTTACATTCTTTGAACGAGATGCATCTGCTGCTTAAAAAATCGTTCAGTTGGTTCTAGGACTGTAAATATTTAGTCAGATGAGTGTTCTATTGTTTATTTCTGTCGAGAAGCTATATTTTCAATCTTTTTGTTGTATCGTTTGCTGAGCAATTGGCATTTGCGCTCCTTTGCATCAGCTACGGCTGAAGAGAGTAATAAAACCCAAGTTTGTTTGCTTACTATTCATATTATTGTCTAGACTCTAGTGCCATCATTTGGCTTTCCTCAATTGCTGTTTTAGTATTTAGGGTAGTTTGGTTTTGGTGATAGTTAAATTGTTATCAATGCATGTATAATATTATACATGTATATAAGAAAATTAGTGTATTGTAGTTTACAGCGTTTGATTTTTGTGATAGTTATTGTAGTATTTAAATAAATTATATCACATTTTGGGTGAAATGTCATTTTTATCCTTTGTTTTCAATATAAAAAAACAACACACTTAAAAAGGTAGGGACATATTTGGAAGAAGAAGAAAACACAGCAATCTCCATCAAATAATCTCAACGAAAACTTGAGATTTAACTATCACTCATTTTGAGTGATAGTTTGTGTCAAATCAAGTAAACAATGCATGTATTATTTGCGTAGAAAATTAAAAAAAAAAAAAACGATGCATTGTGGACATTGCATGCATTGTAACTATCCCAACCAAACTATCACCAAAACAAAACGACTACTTTTTTTGGCTTCCTTCAGAATGAGGTGAAAAAGGCTCTCATAAACTTCAATTGCAGACACCAGCATGTCAATCAATAGCTGAGCCAGAAAGCCGAATGAGGGGGGTGACTTGAATTGGGGTGATAATCGGTCGGTTAATGGTTTAATCGGTAACCGATCGACAGGTTATATGTATATCGCTAAAGGAGACGCGAACTTCGAATACCGATACCGATTACAAACCGGTATTACCAACATACCGCAAAGAAAGGGAGAAATACGTATTTCGGTTCGGTTAACCGGGAATCTGGACATCCTATAATGTAATGGTCCAATTTTTATTTTTTTGGGTTTTTTTTTTCATTTATATGTAATTAATAATTTAATCCCTAATTCCTTACTTAGAATATTTTATAATTTTTATACTTCCATTCACGTACTATGAATTATTGAATATGTTTATGTGAAACATTAAACCAGTTTGTTAATTTACCACTTAGTTAATTACTCTACTTACTCACCAGTTAACACCCTTGCAAATAAGATAACATAACAATCTGTCAACCTGAATATCATCATTCATCAAACATCATCAAAGGGACAACAACTCAGACAAATTCAAGTATTTAACAATCAACATAATCGTCAATCGACTAAAGTGCACAATGTCTAACTCCAACACAAGTTCAAACTTAAAAATTATAATAGTGTTTAGAAGTCCCAAAATTTAACACAAACATCAAGTAGAAGTCACAAGTCACAACCACTAGCTCATGCTCCTCACCTCCATCTCCGATAGAACTTGTACCACCATGATGGAAAAACGTGCATAGGGGGCGGGGCAGGTTGAGTCGTGTGTGGCTGGGTGGTTCGGCTATTATTATTAGTTATTTTGTGTTATTTTGCATAACTACTATTCAAGGAGCAGAACCTCATTCGGATGATTATTATGAATATATCATAATATTAAACCCAATCCCTAATCTCTTCTCTCAATTCTCTATTCCCAAATTCTCAATCCCTGATTCTTCTACTGTTTATCATATTGGTATCAGAGTTGTCAAAGCTCACCGATTCGGAACGGGCTCAGATGGTGGAGCAATTTCGACAGGCGGATGAACGCGCCCTAGCCTGGGAGCATTCGCGTGACGGCAACTGCGGCGCGTGAACAGAAGTTGTCCCCGCTGCGTCGGGTGGAGGCACCTGTACGGCTGACCGAGGAAGGAGCATCGAAGATGGAGGAAAGAGCGCCGACAAAGCTGACTAGACCAAACGACACGCTCGCGATCGAGGAAGTGACGTCGGAGCTTTCGCTCCACTCGGTGACAGGTCATGCGTCGTCGGGAACTCTTCAGTTCCGTGCACAGCTGGAGGGGCGGTCTGCGATAATTCTCGTGGATAGCGGTGCTTCCTTAAACTTTGTAAGTGAGGGATTTGCGAAGACATTTCCGCACAAAGCCAACTCGATAGCACCAGTATTGATCAAGGTGGCCAACGGCGCACCTATGCAGTGCCCAGTGGCGGACCCATGATTCTTTGATAGGTGTGTCGGCAGACAAAAAATAATTAATAAGTTAAATGTATTAAATAAAAAGTAAAATAAAATATTAATTCATTAAGGTCGTAATTTATTATTTTTCACAATGACACACGACAACGTTTCATATTCAGATTGGTTTGTAAAATATATTTGGCGCTTATGGTGTGATCAAACTTTTTCGACGTACCAAAGTAAAAATTCATTCATAAAACTGATTTTGAAGTTCGCTCTTGATTAACTCCATAACATAAAATGTAAACCAGGAACACTGGCGACAGGCGTTACGTAAAAGTTTGAAAGAGGATGAGGTTCCACCGGCAGGTGTTAGCAATTAGAGAGTGGAGCAGAGGACAGAGAACTGTGAGCTATGGGTTGTGGATTTTTTCCTCTCGGCATTTTCATTAAAAATTAAAAGAAATAATATATATTTGTGTATTTTGGTACCTATTGCTATATGACATCAAAATCAATGTAGTGTATTAAAGGTGTGTCGGTTGCAATTATTTTAGGTGTGTCAGAAATCCCGAATTCAAGTTTTTTGTACCAACAAAACATGGATCTCTCACACAATTTTGGAACCAAGGTGTGTCGGTTGACACACCTTGCTAATACATGGGTCCGCCCCTGGTAGTGCCAAACAATTTATAGAGGGATCACGCTGGTGATTCAAGGTTTGGAGATGACGACCGACTTGTGTAGCCACTCACGAAATTTGATGTGATCCTCGGCATTCCTTGGCTTCGCAGTCTGGGAATGGTAGTCAGTGATTGGAACTTGTTGACGATGCAGTTCAAGTGGAGGGATAAGGAGCCGAAGGGGGGGGGGGGGGTGGAGCTCGCCATCTTGTGCTGGCCGATCGACTTGGCGGAGTCCCAAGAGATGGATGTGGAGCTGCAGGCGGTGTTGGAATGATTCCAGGAGTTGTTTGAGAAGCCATCTGTCCTGCCACCCCATAGACGGATTGATCACCAGATCACGCTGAAGGAGGGGGTTGAAGCCGTCAACGTGCAGCCGTATAGGTACGACCATTTGCAGAAGACTGAGATCGAGAATCAGGTTGGGGAGATGTTTGAGACTGGACTGATTCGCCCCAGCACTAGCCCTTTATCATTGTTGGTTCTTTTGGTGAAAAAGAAGGATGGAACTTGGCGCTTCTGTACGGATTACCGAGCTCTGAACGAAGCTACAATGAAGGACCGATTTCCCAATCCGACTTTGGATGACATGCTGGATAAGCTACATGGGTCAAGCTACTTCACAAAGATGGATTCAATAGCGGGGTATCACCAGATCCGAATGTAGGAGGAGGATCTGCACAATACTGCATTTCAGACTCATAATGGGCACTATGAGTACCTGGTGATGCCATTTGGGGTGTGCGATGCTCATTGCCGATATGTCCTGGTCTTCTTCGATGACATATTAGTATACAACCCGACCAGGGAGGATCACCTTTATCACTGGGAGGTAGTGTTTGGAATTCTAAGACAACATCACTACTATGTCAAGGCATCCAAATGCGCCTTCAGTGTTCGGGAGGTAGAGTACCTGGGTCACATTGTGATACCCCATAGCGTGAAAGTCGACCAGGAAAAGATCCGAGTGATGGTGGAGTGGCCGGTTCCGACAAACGTGACTGAGCTGTGCGGCTTCCCTGGTTTGACAGGTTACTATCGGAAGTTTGTGCAGGGATACAACATGATTGCTCAGCCTCTGACGGATCTGCTAAAGAAGGGGGGATTTGACTGGACGCCTGCAGTGGATTCATCATTTCAAGTTCTCAAGCATGCGATGACGTTCGCCAGCATTGGCACTACCTGAGTTTGCCAAGCCCTTTGTGATCGAAGCTGATGCTTCCGACAGAGGAATTGAAGTAGTACTTTCCCAGAATCGATATCCCATAGCTTACATGAGCAAAATCTTGGCGCCGACTATGGAAGCATGGTCGACGTATAAGAAGGAGATGCATGCCATTATCACAATGGTACAGACCTGGAGACCATAGTTACTAGGGCAGAAGTTCCACATCTACACTGACCAATAGAGCTTGAAGCATTTGCTGGGGCAGAAGGTGTCCAACCCGGACCGGATTACTGGGTCTCCAAGTTGATGGGGTATGATTACACGATCCATTACCGACTGGGTCCCATGAATGTGGTAGCATATAGGTTGTCCCGCAGTCAAGGTGGTGAGGTACTGGCAGCAGTGTCGGGACCCGTACCCCAGTTTTGGGATGAGCTGCGGTCTCTTACTAAGACTGATCCTTACATGCATGAATGCTGGAACACGGTAGTTAGCGAGACGCCAAGTAGGTACGCGTTTCAGCATGGGCTTGTGACATTCAAGGGTCGCATGGTATTACCCGTCGAGTCGTCCTTGGTCACGACGATTCTAGCAGAGTTCCATGATTCACCGTTTGGGGGTCACTTGGGTGCGGAACGGACCTTGCGCAGTGTCAAGGCGCACTTTTATTGGCCTCGGATGGCGCAGACAATGATGGATTATGTTTCCTCTTGTGACACTTGGCAGCGAGTGAAGGCTTCCCATTCGATACCGGAACGAAAGTGGGAGGACATCAGTATGGACTTCATTGTTGGGTTACCGCCGTCGGGAGGTAATATTTTACTGTTCGTAGTTGTGGATTGTCTAACTAGGTATGCTCGTTTTATGGCCTTAGCTCATCCCTACACGACAAGGCGGTGGGTGACCAGTTTGTTCTAGGTGTAGTGAGGCATCATGGGTTTCCCAGGACCATTGTGAGCAATCGGTATTCTGTCTTTCTGAGTGACTTCTGGTAGGGTGTGTTTGCAATGGCCCGGACGACATTGTGAATGAGTTTGGTGTATCATCCGCAGACAAATGGGTAGACAGAGGTGATTAATCGGCATCTAGAGCAGTACCTGCGTTGTTTCGCTCATCATGAGCCGCGGAGTTGGTTGGTTATGTTGCCATGGGTCGAGCTATGGTACAATACCACTTACCATAGGGCCATCAAGACGAACCCATTTGACGCGCTCTATGAACGCCCACCACAATCTCTAGTGCACTATCGGAGTGGAGCTAGAACAGTCGACGTT